GAAAGTTACCAAAATAGGAAACCCCTTCATAAGGAAATATTCCAAAACCCTAAAGTACACGTTTGTTTAGGATTTCTTTCTAGATGAGAAATGGAAAGTTTCCATAAATGGAAAGTTCCATATAAGGAAAGATTCCATAAATAGAAAGTTCCATACATAAAACCGAAACCCTAGAAAAAACCCTAGTACTATAAATCGCGGATGCTAAAACCCTAAAACTTAACCGCGAAATCCTAGTATCCTAATCTAGTATGATCCCATTGTTTGGTTGTTGCATACTAGATCAATCTTCTAGGGTTGATTTCATCCATATATATATAACATGATTGTTTAGAAAACACTTGTTGAAGACAAGCATGGCTCGGTCTTAAATAACGCATGACTTGGTCTAACCGATTACATGAGTTCTCATTTAACTCTATATATTATAGATATCAGAAATCAACTATTATGAATATGCGGCACTCAATGCCTCTGGTGACAATTATTTAAAATGGGCTTTGGACACTGAGATTGTCCTAAAGGAAAAAGGGCTTGGTGAATCTATTGTAGAAGGAAACAATGTCACCAGAAGAGAAAGATATAAGGCGATTACTGACATACGCCATCACCTCAATGAGAGTCTCAAAATCAGTACCTCACTATTAAGAATCCTCTGGACCTCAGGACAGAGTTGAAAAAAAAAAAAAAATCAATATAACCACCAAAGAACGGTGCTATTACCCAAAAGCCATGAATGAGTATAACTCAGCACTATTTAAAATAGTGTCAATACTGAGATTCCGTGGTGAGGAAGTTACTGAGAATGACTTGCTAGAGAAAGCATTCTCGACCTTTCACACAAACAATATATTGCCTCAGCAACAATATCGTGAAAAAGGTTTTTACCACATATGCAAGTCTAAACTCTTGTTTTTGGGGAGGACTCCTCTATAGAGAGTGCTAAGGAGTGAGGCTTTGGAGAGACCGTGATGAGAACATTGATTCTGATATGCTACTTGCTGAGCAAAACAATGAGTTATAAATAGTGAAATGAGACCTCCTGGTCCTACCCCATTATCAGAAGCCCGTTGGGCTGAAGAGCCTAAACAGCCTAAAGAGCCTAAAGAGACTAAAGAGTCTAACCACGTCCAAAGAGATAAGTATCATGGCCACAGTCATGGTAAATAGAATGAACGTGGTAGAAGTGGAAAATATAATTTATATGATCAAGGAAACCATTCATATGGTTAAGGCCACCGACCCGACTTTGGTCGTAATCGAGGTAGGCCACGGTATACCCAAACCACAACACTCAAATAAACTTGTTTGCCACTGATGAGTAATGGGGAAACCATTGGACTAAGACGTGCAGGACACCTAAGCATCTCGTTGATCTCTATCAAGAGAGTTTGAAAAGAATCAAGAAGCTCATTTAGTTCATCACGATGGTGAAGAAGATTTCGACCATGAGATAGATGATTATGAGAATTCAATAAACGAAATATCTAAAGACATGGTTCATTAGCCAAATTGCGGGTATAGCTAAATTTAGTGAAGGCTAAGGGCAGGCCCATGGCAGGCCCATATTCCCAAGGGCACGCATCCTCAGATGCTTCATATTCACCTAGCTCAAGGGGGCTTGTTGAGTTTCAAAGAAATGTGTTTGAATGGTTTTCACATTGAAACTAAGGGTGAAGGGAACAAAGGATTCCCATATATTACTAAGAGCACCCAAGACCATGAGAAGGTCTTAGAGACTATACCCGCGTCATAGATCTTTACTATGCCAAGGTCAATATGATAAAGGCTAATAAAGTAAACAAATAAGGGTTTACTGAGAAATTCACTAATGGCATGACCGGCTTGGCCAGCCCGGTTCGAATATGATGCGTAAATTAATTCAAAGTTCTAAAGGGCACACCCTTAAAGAAAACCGAGTTTTCCCTAAGCACCACACGTGCATAGCCTGTTCACAAGGGAAGCTTATCACTCGACCTTCACCAGTCAAAGTGTCTAAAGAGACCTTACATTTTCTAGAACGACTTCAAGGAGACATATGTGGTCCGATCCATCCACCTTGTGGAACATTTCGGTACTTCATGGTTTTAATCGATGCATCGACCCGCTGGTCGCATGTTTGCCTATTGTCTTCTAGGAACCAAGCGTTTGTTAGGTTATTGGTCCAAATGATCAGATTGCGAGCCCATTTTCCAGATTTTCCTCTTAAGACCATACGTTTAGATAATGCTGGTGAATTCACTTCCCAAGCATTTAATGACTATTGTATGGCCATGGGGGTAAGTGTGGAACATCCTGTGGCACATGTCCATACACAGAACGTATTAGCTGAATCCCTCATTAAACGAAATCAACTAATTGCTCGACCATTACTCATGAGGTCGCAGCTTCCGGTCTCAGCTTGGGGACATGCAGTTTTACACGCTGTTCAATTAATACGCATTTGGCCATTTAGTGAACATAGATATTCCCCATCCCAATTGCTAACGGGTCATGAGCCAGACGTTTCCCATCTAAAGACATTTGGGTGTGTCACCTATTTACCCATAGCACCACCACAGAGAGCAAATGATGGGACCTCAAAAGGGGATGGGAATATACGTTAAAAATGATTCTCCCACCATCATTAAGTATCTCGAGCCAAAGGCCACATACAAGGATTGTCATCACAATGAATCCGTTTTCCCAACACTGGGTGGAGAGACTAACAAGCTGGTCAAAGAACTTACATGGAATCAAACATCCTTCACATGGCAAGATCCTCGGACTCCATCAGAGATCCAAAAGACTATATATCTGCAAAAGCTAGCTAAAACAGTTGCCAAGATTCCTATAATGACCCAAAGAGAGTAACAAAATCGTACATACCAGCTTGTAATGCACTAGTACGTATTGATGTTCACAAGGAACACATTCAAGTTGCTACAGAGGCTACAACACGTAAGAAACGTGGTAGACCCAAAAGGTTCCAAAGACAAGAACCCTCAAAAATCAAAGAAAGGTGCAAGGGAAACCGAGAAGGTTCAAGAAACCATAGACATGGCCGGCTAATAGACATAACCCTAAGGTACCAATCAATGAGGTTTGGGACGCCAAACCTCAAGGTCCTGAAGGTGTAAAGAGATCTCTATAAACTATATCATGTCTAGAATACAATGGAACCGAAAAGATGTCGACATCAATGATAATATATATGCGCATGAGGTAGCAACTGAAATGAATGAGGATCAGGAGCCCACGTCTATACTAGAGTGCACTCAAAGACCTGATTGATTAAAATGGTACAAGACCATAAAACGTGGAGCTAAGAATCATTAAGAAGAAGAATGTGTTTGGTCCAATACAAAGGACACCATTCAATGTAAAGCCAGTGGGACAAATGAGTCTTTGTGATTGTGTGAAATAAACATAGTGAAAGCGTGATATATCAGACACGGCTTGTCGCACAAGGATTCACACAAAGACCAGAAATAGAGGAGATATACTCCCCTGTGGTGGATGCAAAGACATTTAAATTTTTGCTAAGTCTGGCTATATAAAAGAGAAAGATTTGCGGCTAATGGATGTAATGCCTGCATATTTATATAAGTCCACTGGATAATATATGAGATTACCAGAGGGTATTGAGCTCAAAGATAAGAAAGATTCTCGAGAACAGCACTGCATAAGGCTGGACAAATCCTTATATGGACTGAAACAAAGCGGACGTATGTGGTATAACCGGTTAAGCGAATATCTCATCAGAGAAGGCTATAAAAACGATCCGATCAGTCCATGTATTTTTATCAAGAAGTTTGCAAACAAAGGATTTGTAATCATAGCAGTGTATATGAATGATTTAAACCTCTGGATAATCGCCCAAACAGTTGAGTATATCTAAAGAAAGAATCTCAAATGAAAGACCTAGGCAATAATTAAGTTCTGTTTGGGATTACAACCTGAGTACGTGAATAATGGAATCCTTGTGCATCAAATGGCATACACTGAAAGAGTACTCAAGGAGATTTAATAAGGACCAGGCCCGCCCATTGACCAGGCCCAATGGTGGTGAGAAGCCTCAGATTGGATAGTGATCCATTCAGTCTGGAAATGCCATACCTCAGTGCCATAGAAGTTCTAATGAATTTGGCTAGACACACTAGACCAAACATTTGTTTTGCCGTGAGTATTCTGTCTAAATTTAGTTCATGATCAACCCAAAGGCACTGGAAAGGTTTAAAGGAAGGTTTGATTAAATTTTAAAGTTTATTCTTCCTGCGTTGTTTACTTGGGTTTATTCTATATTGATCTAACCAAAGAAGGTCCAGTTTGCTTTGGTTTAGTTTGATTTGCTAATGCAGGATATTCATAAGATCAGATTATGGTATGGTCAATGAATAGGAACTATGTGTGGCTTGATCCCTTCCAAGGGTACGTAGGCAGCCTTCCTTAAGGCGCATCTACTACTACATCAAAGACCATCATATTTGAAGACAACGCATCCTGTATTGCTCAACTCAAGGATGGCTACACTAAGAGGGATCGAACGAAGCATATTCTGCCCAAGTTCTTCTTCACTCATGAATTACAGAAGGACGGTCAGGTCAAAGTTCAACAGATCCGGTCAAGTGAGAATTCAGCCGACCTATTCACCAAATCATTGCTGACTTCAACGTTCCGGAAGCTCATTCATCAGATCGGGATGCGCGGACTTAAGGATCTACAGTGATGCTCAAATCAGGGGGAGTAATGCGTGTTGTACTCTTTTTCCTTCACCATGGTTTTGTCCCACTGGGTTTTCCTGGTAAGGTTTTAATGAGGCAACATTCCCCAGCGCATTATAGAGATCCCGGTTTAGTATCGGGCACGGTTATGTCTTCCAAGGGGGAGTGTTATAAACCATATAGATGGACTCCATAACCGACCCATGGCCCATTAGGGTTTTACCTTATTCTCTGTATCCTGCTATTATCCTTGTATATATATCCCTTATTCTATTAATGAAAGACACAGTTCACAACACAGTTAATATTATCCACACCAATGTCTGGAAAATGCTAGGCCTAATTGCAATTTTTCATAACAAAATATCACTACACTGATCTTCTAAACATTGTCAATGAATGATGACCTCACAGCTGCGAGAACGCTTTGTGAAAGTACGAAGCTCCTTGAAGATATCTGAATCTTGGGTTGCTATCGAAGAATCCTTGAAACGCACAATGAGTTTCTGGAGAACTACTGAATTCTTGAGAAAATAGCTCACTAATTTCTTCCCGGTTTCTTCTCCCATAATCAATTCTCTAATCTCAACACACTCCAGAGTCGATAACAAACACTGAGGGACATAGGTAAGTCCATCTTGCTCAGGCTCCGTTGAAACAGCAAAGTCCTGCAAGTGCACACGCTGAATATATTCAGAGAAGTTCTTAACTAACCAAATCATAGATTCATTCATAATCTTACCAAGATGAGGTTTTCCAGATTGGGGCAGCTCTCAAGAAAGACAAGCAACAACTGGAACATGGATCTAGAAAACGCAGCTTGTAAACGGTACAAGTTATCGAATTTGGGAATCGGTCCCAATTTGGAATATAGATAGAGGACCTGAAAGAAGAAAGAAAAGGATACATCATAGGGAATCAAATCACATTTCTTGTTACATATATGCATCGCAAAGTAGATATTTACCTCTAAAGTACGCTGAGAGATGATCATATCTCTTATACAAGATATCCCGGTTAAAAAATCACGGATAATATCTCTCTTGCGTAAATCCTCCGGTTCCAAAGGACTGCCGCCAAACTTAACATTAAATTCAGTATCAATATCGATCATCGATAAAGAATTTAGGTTCTTGACTACAATCATATCAGATTGGTTATCATTAAAATTCAAATACTCGAGTCTAGGAGCATCAACCTCAACCGAAAAATATGTACCAGCCATACTATACTCAAACGCAAGACGAAAGCTTTTAAGACTCTTAGACCTCACCTTAAGAAACCGCAGATCATCTAGAACACAAAAATCAATAGCCCTAATCAATACAAGATCTTCAAGAACAGGACAACCTGAGATAACCTTCTCAATGACCAAAGGATCATCCCAATACCAAACATCTTCTAAATGCATTTTCTTAAGAGACGGTAAAGAAACAACGAACTCGGGATTCTCGATTCCTACGGTTACAAGCACCAACGACACTAATGTATTGCTCTTATATATGTTTTGAGGCATGAACTCTCTTACACACATATCAGTCTCAAAACCATTAGCATCCAAATGCTGAATTCCGCGATCAACCGTTGTTACAACCCACCCCGCCAACCGATCATCATCATAAGTGTATTCATCATACTTCAACTTGAATTTTCGCATTCGTGAATTTCGATTAAACTCGAGAAAATTGTCGATAAAGCTCGCGTAGTTTTCTTCAGGGAAATTGCTGACTTTTAAGTCAAGAACAGGAACCCTAAGCCAGAGAAATTCCCATCTTTTAGATAAAACGCTAGTCTTAACGGAATCTTTGGTTGGAAGGTATGAGAGTATTTGAGTTAGCAAAGAATCTGGCAATTCGCTGATTCTATCGCAATTCATCGCAAGAAACGAAATCCTAGAGAATCAAAAACAATCATTTGCGAAAAAAGTTTCAGAATTGGTCACAAAATCAGATACATAATAATCATGCAATCGAGCTGGGTCTGAAGAACTCACCGGCGAATTATTGTTGAAGTTATCGGAGCAAAGTTTCAAAAGTGATCACCAAAACACATACAAAAACAGGCGGCGGAGAGAGAGAAATGTGAGTGTGAAGAAGTCACCGTCGATTTGATTCGCCGCCGCAAGTAATCTGAAGTCACCGTCGATTTGATTCGCCGCCGCAAGTAATCTGACACGATCGGGGATTGGGCCTAATTGGGCTTCATTGAGCCCATGGATATTTGCGATTTGTTATTGATTTTGACTTTTGAGTATCAGTCTTTTGAAAACATAACCAATGTGAATTATTTGAAAACATTTCGGAGCATAAGGTTTAGTCCTTAGCTTCAGGAGTCGCCGGCTCGGAACGGGAAAAGGGCCTATTTCCACCCCTACTATTCGGACGGTTCCGTTTCCTACCCACACAACGAGTTGATGCTTATTTCAACAGTTTTCATAACCATTTGAAATTTGTTCCAAATACTGTTGAAATAGGCACCAATTCGTTGTGTGGGTAGGAAAAGGAAGTCATCCGTTAAAATAGTAGAGTCGGATGACACGGTGGCAATTCAAAAGAGTGAAAAGGTCCTAATTCCACCCTTTACTATTTGAACGGTTCCTTTTCCTACCCACACAACGAATTGGATCTTCTTAAGATAATCTTGTCATCACAAATTTCAAATGGTTAATTTGAAATTTGTTCCAAATACTGTTGAAATAGGCACCAATTCGTTGTGTGGGTAGGAAAAGGAACCGTTCAAATAGTAAGGGTGGAATTAGGACCTTTTCCCTCTTTTGAATTGCCACCGTGTCATCCGACTCTACTATTTTAACGGTTGACTAACGTCCGTTTGAGTCAATGTTGAATTCAACTATAAACACAGAGTATGGATAGTTAATTTGAAATTTGTTATGAAAACTGTTGAAATAAGCACCAACTCGTTGTATGGGTAGGAAACGGAACCGTCCAAATTGTAGGGGTGGAAATAGGCCTTTTTCCCGGCTCGGAACACTCCAAGACTAGGAAACAATGGCAGTTTCTCAACTTGAAAGCCGAAGAAGACTCGATTCAAATTTTCTTAAACCTTAAGGGAATAAGGTTTGTGGAGACTCTATAAGAGCATTTTTCAACTCACGGCAAATCTACTCCAACCCACCTCTATTCTCATCTAAAATAGAGATCTCTATTTTTTTTCTCTATATATAGAAGATAATATAGAAAATATCTATTTTTTTCCCTATAAATAGAGTTCAACTTTTTAGAGGAAAAAGTAGAAGAACACATTAGATTAAAAATTGAGAAAACTCACATCTATTATGAGATAGAGCTAAAAATAGGGAAATACATTAAAGATGGTCTAAGTTGGATGAATTTCGGAGTAAAGCATTAGATTGACGATTGGTATCCCTTGGCAAGAAATTAAAAAGAACGAGCTGGATCCGGATCTAACAGGAGTGAGCGATTGAGTATCGAATTTTCTTGACGTTATAGAAGATATGAACCGGTATATGGTATTGTAAAGATTCGATCCGACAGTAATAAGACAATCCCAAGCGAATCGAGGTTGGGACAATTTGACAAAATTTTCTTCGGGTAAAGGCCGAGATAGACTAATATAATTTTGTGAAAAGAACATGGACCAATTTGGAGAGACAGATGGGCCGCAAGTTTCATTTTACTTTACAGCCAATTGGGAGCAAAATAATAATAATAAAATCAAGCGAAATAGAAAAACTGTATTTGTCTTTCTATCTCAAAAGGTAGAACAACTTGTGGAGGAGACACAACCGTTGGAAGTAGTACATGGCTGCATGCATAATGTGACACACTTCTCTTTTCCAGCACTTTAAAGAAGTGAAAAGCCAAAGAACTTCTACACGAATCTAGACCAATAGATTCCTTTTGTAATACAAAAAAATTATATTATTTTGCAATTAACTGGAACATTAATGTAGCTCAATGCTTACCGTTTTCTTAACAACATATAATATTATAGGGGACTAAATCCGAATGTGTGATACAATGACCCTATTAGCACAAATTACTAGACTAAATCATCCAATCGTATAAAAATGGATATATTTTATTAATTGAAATCAATAATTGGTTTTCATTTCTTGAATGTATTTTTCCTTTTTATTCCCCCTTAAACTATGATATTAATACGTTAAGTTTATATATTAAATAGTAGAGGAAATTAAAAAATAAAGTAAGAATCCATCTTAGGAAATATAATGCATTTTAATTTTGAGAAACAAAAAAAAAAACTATTTGAAACATGTAACAATTTGAAATGGGAGGAGTATAAAACTACAAGTTTTGTTTTATCATTTTTTTTTTGAAAAATACTGTACAAGTTTTGTGGAGACACCACATTGGAAGTTTTGTATTATATATGTCTACTTAAAACATTTCACTTAATCAGGAAAAAAAGAAGAAGAATGATTGGTGAGGTAAATCAACAAAATCTAGTTTTTTGATATAATCGGCAAGATTTCTAGACTCTTTCTAGCGCAAATACTATAGACCAACTAACCAATGTGTAATACCAATTTGACATCATCAAAAAATAGTCCAAAATTAATTCAAAATAGATGGATGAAAAAAGAAAAATCAAATGACAGAATTCTTGATTTGCCATTTATTGAAAAAAAGTTCAGAGAACTGATAAGCGTTATGCAACAATAATTTCCTTCACGGAATCGAAATAAACATTAGCTTCCAATAGTCATATGAAAAATCATTCATAATAATTAGAATGAAAAGGAAAAAACTCACCGAGTGGAAATATAAGAATAATAATTAGGAGTAGAAAAGAATCTTGAAATCATTCATCATGCATAGGTGCAGAAGTGGCGGCAACTCCGAGTTTCTGAAGATTGAGTTTGACGACAGTGTCCACAAACATTTTGGTGTCTTCCTCTGTGTTTCCCTCGGGAATATCAACGGTGTAAGATTCAAGAACCACCGTGTAGACCTTGCCGGAATCTTGATTCAAGAACTCGTTGACCGACGTCACTGATTTGTAGTTCTTAAGCCGGTGTTCTCCGCCGACGACCCTGAAGCTTAGAACACGGTGGTCGTCGTCGACGAACTCAAGCCGCTCGGTGCTAGTGGAGGCTGGGAGGCCGGAGATTACGGTCACTTCTCGGACGCTTCCGATACCGCCATCGCCGGAGATGAGACGGCAGCTTTTGACGAAGTGTTTGTAGCGTTCGGGGTTGTCGAAACGGCGGATGAGCGGCCAAACGGAGGAGGCGGGGGCGTCGATGCGTTGGGTTATGAGAGAAGTGCAAGTGGATGGGTCCGGTTCGAACCGGTGGTATGTTTTGATAACCGGTTCGAGGGTTTTGTGCTCTTCGTCGGTTAGGCCTTTCACGACCGGGGAGGAGCTCATGGTGATGAATAGGTCACACGTGTGACGTCTCTAGTGGAGAGAATTAGGGTTCTATGAGAGAGACAAAGAAAGAAAGAAAGGTCTTCTTGTTGGAGATTGGGGGGTTTGTGAAAGAGATGAGAATAAAAGACAGTTCTTTTTTGGGAGCTATGTATGTTTTTATATTATTACAAATCTATGGACTATGTCACTATGGGTGTTCTTTGGACGGATTTATCCCTTTGTGTTTGTTTATTGTCCATATTAACTCTTGTTCTCTAACTTACAAAAACTCTGATCATTTTTTTTTTTTTTTTCAACCACACACTAATTAATAAAAAACTCCTAGATTGGTTCCCAATTAGAAGAAGTAATATCTACAAAAGATACTTCGGAAAATAAAAGTTTAGAAGAGCGGGCTAAGCAGTCCGCTTTAACATTACATAGACGAGAAATAAGGGAAAGCGAGAAGAAAGGGAAATAGACGCGGAGTAAGCCAAACTCATCAAGCAGATTGGAGAAAGCGGGCCATTCATTAGGTGACTGTATCATCGTGACTAACTCCGAACAATCTGTTTCAAACGCCTGACAATCGATCCTTCTTGAAAGAATATTCTTCATAGCCCAAATTAAAGCTTCCATCTCCGAGTGAAGGGAGGAGGGACATCTCCGAAAGCACTTTGCACCGAGCAGTATCGTTTATAAGCCCATTTTGTCAAAAAATTTCCATCTTATTTATGAAAAACCTATATGTTCTAAAATCATCTATATAGAGAATTTATAAATTGACGTAAATTGAACTCACTATCTGTAATCTTTAAGGTAAAACAAATCTTTATTTCTAAACGTGAAATTTTATTTATTCAAAGGTGGTTTTCGTAAACTTTAAATCAGATAATACATAATGATAACTTTTGCAAATAATTATTTTTTCAATGAACAGTTACTACACGGTAAGACCGGATCCAACCCCCCCCCCCCCCCCCACACACACACACATAATCATACATACTAATTGATGAAGCTATTCCACTATATATTTATCATATATATAAATAAGTGTGGGGGAAATGTTACTTGAATTAAATTTTGTTGGATATGCAAATTCATAAATAAGTAGACAAAATATTTAAAGAAAATTCGATCACTCACTCTTTTGGGTTTCGAAAGAACAAAAAAGAAAAGAAAAGAACGGTGGTGGTCAGAGACTCAGAGCTGGGTTATTTTGTTTTGTAGTTAACGAAATTCTCTGTATTATTCCTTGATTTAGTGGGAAGGGAAGGTAACACTGTACCGCACATGTATTTAATAATTAGGTATTTTACCATAATAGATGTTCGATGTTTGATCCTTTTTAGAAAGCACTTAATTTAGTTGACAAAAAAAAAAAAAATCTAAGAATTTGTCTTCATTTACGGTTATGAAAAATAAGGTTATGGTATTTGAACTAAGAGCCGAACCGAACTTGACTAGGATATAACTTTGATACAGTACCCAAATATAAATATGAACTAAAATATATTTTCTCGTTTCATAATAAGTATTTTAAAGAAAAACTTACTAAACCCAAATATAACGGATAAAACGCATGGTAAATCACATTTTTATAACTTGAAAAATAACAAAATCTACAAACTATTCAAAAATTGGTAAAATCTATAAATGCCATTAAGAAAAATGCCAAAATGGCGAAATCCGTAATTGATTCATATTTAAAATAGGGAAACTACAACTTTCAATTTTTTCATACCTCTTTAAAACCCAAC